ATAGCAAGTATAGTCGAGTTTGGTACCATTTTGTAGGTCTTGACGAAACATAACAATTAACATAAAGAAAATATAAATCGGACCATTAATAACAATATGGCAGCTCAAAGTTACTTAAAATAACCATTGTCTCAATCATTAACAATATGGCAGCTCAAAATTACTTAAAATAACCATTGTCTCAATCATTTTTAGCTGTCATTTTGTTATTAATGGTCTGATTTCTATTTTCTTTATGTTAACTGTTATGTTTCGTCAAGACCTGTAAAATGATACCAAACTCGACTATACTTGTCATTTGAAATTTTGAGCTACCCCCTACCCCCGCTACCCCTAAGGGCAATATTTTCAAAATTGACCATAAATATTGTGGCCCCTCATATCTAAGAAGGTTGCCGCAAACCGATTTCAAATATCTCAAATGGTTGAAAAGTTAAGGGGGGGTGCAAGTTACTTTTCAGCCACTCTGTATGAACTCCTTCTCCCATATAGTGAAAGTGGTTTTGACATGAAACAAACAATTATAAGACTCCTAAAAAACCTTTTGGCCGACCTAAAGCCGGTAAAAAGGTAGGAAATATTGTGTTAATCGAATTCATCAATCACGTTTTTAGGGAACACAATCGTCATACTTATTATGCTTATCCTCCCTTCATTTAACTAAGATTTTAATACCTTCACTCTAACTATCGCAGTTAGCTAAATGTACATAAAACCTCAAGATAAACCGTCGATTTCGACGGGGTTCCGCTAGTAAAAATGACCTGGAAGCATTAGCACTGAAAGTAGGTTTACAGGTTTATAAAGATAAAAATAACTATATAAAAATTGGAGGAGTGGCAGAGCCAACCAACTCGACGCTGGATGTTATGGGATATAGTTTCAAAATGACTAAAGAAATTAAGTATTTGGGAGTTACCAAAAACATACATAATAAAAAAAAGATAAGATACAAAAGGGATTAAACGCAGCAAATAAATGTTGGTGTAATAGGTTTTAGTCTATAAAAAATATTGAAGAGTAAGCTCCTGTCAAGAAATACTAAAATTAGAATATATAGAGAGTAATAATACTGTACAATCAGTTCTCTTGTATGGTTCAGAGATATGGGCACTAACACAACATATCCACAAGAAGTTAATAATGCTTGAAAATAAAATTTTGAGAAGGATATGTAGACTAATATTCTAAGACAGGGTTAAGAGAAAACTGAAAAATCAAGAACTCAGGAACCTGTACAGAAGGCCAGATATTGTGGCGATGATAAGAAGTAGGAGAATTAGGTGGCTTGGTCATGTGAGAAGAAGAGAAGAGGATCAACAATAAGAAAGGTGTGGAGAGATTGACCAAAACGAAGGCGACTATTAGGAAGACTAAGGTTAAAATGGATCGACCGGATTTAAAAATGGAAGTGGTTGGAGTTATAAGAAGAATTCGACATGGCGGAGGGGAGTCTGAAGGAAACTTGTTGGCGGAGGCCACAAGTGTGAGTGATTATGCAAGTTAAATGTTTGTTATACAGTGACAACCAAGATGTTTAGCTTGAGGAGGCTCATCATCTCGCTGGGAGACTTTTGAAACAGTACAATAATTGTTGATACTGTTTGTTTACTTCACCAACAACTATGTAGACTTGTGTGAAAAAAGTTAAGGTTCTACATTGGGAATTTTTAGTTAGTTTTGCATTCATTATCCACGACTTAGATTACCTCTTCGATCACTCAACAACTCATTACGGATAGTTGGGAGTTTTAGGTAATTGTGGATTCACCTTGAAAACCTTTGTTTATTCTAAAGAGTTTGTGAACCAGCATGATCGGACTATAGGAGACATAAAATTTATCAATTAATATCAAAACCATAATGTAGAACTAAAAACAAATAACTGATATTAAAGTGTTGTTTTGAGCTAAATAGTTACAGAGAAGATTCTGAAACTACGAGATTCTGATATGTACAGATAAAAAAATTATGTTATTCCTATGGAGAATAAGTAAACTTTAGTAGTTTGCTTGTTTGTGGATATATATATATATTTTTTTAATGTGGCAGATTTTTTTATTTTATACTAACACATTTAACAACCCACTTAAAAACACACTTTATCACATTTCCTGTATCAGCAGACATTAACACCATTAGTTAAACCATGGTATTTAAATAGTAAATAATATCTACAGAATCTGTCTATATTAGTAATTCTGCAAGCGATTTTTTTAAATCAAAATTTTGAGAGTTTGACAGCTCACAGGATTATGTGAGAGGGCTCAAATTAAAGGCCTTGGTCCCAGGGGGTCGGGAAAATAACAGATTATGTCCAAATCTACCAGAAAATGAGAAATAACAAAAGATATCTCCAATTAAAAATGCATTGGGATTGAAATAAGTTGGTTTTGTTTACATTAATCATTTGATTACAAATTTATTATCATTTTTTATTCTTCTTTAAATTCTGTTGATGGAGTGCGTGAAGTTTGTTTACTAATAAAAAAAGAATTAGAGCTGCTGCATGAAAGATCATTTGATTCTTAGTTTGTTTAAATATAACAATAGGCTAATTTGATTCACATTTGAGCTTTTTAGGGACATGTCCCTACAGGTCACTAGTTTTATTAATTTCTGTGTTATTCGATCTTTCCACTTCTCTAACCTTGCTGCAGCTAGTTTGGATCAGGTTTTCAATTATCAATTAATTAATTAGGGGACTCCACCTAAGTGTGTATTTGAACCAAAATATGAATGAAGGATGGAGTGGAAAATCTGTAGATTGGAGTGAGATAATCTTTGTAGCTTTGTTATAACAGTGGAACCTCGCTAATCCGACCTCAGATGGTCCAACTCCTCGCTTGGTACGACCGTGCCGCCGACACAATAGACTTTCGCTAACATAATCTCATTGTCCAATAAAAATGTCCAGAACATTTTTTAAATTGTGTTTTTTAAGTCTAATATGTTGAAATTTGTGGTATATTTAAGTATTAGACGAAAAAAATAGAAGCAAAACAAAGAAATGTCAAACAAAGCTTCGAGGTTAAGCTATCCGTTTGAACTGACAATCGTTTGCACTCAAAATCGTCTGCTCCTTAGGCTTACTACACATGACGCATCTGTCTGCTGTGCGCTTGCTTCACAACATTTTTTGATTGGGTCTTTGGTAACCATGACAACTGAAGTAGCCTGTGATTGGGTGTTAGTTAACCATGACGACTTGTTGAATGAATGGATAAAGAGAAACTCAAGAAAGAATAGATGAAAAAAGAGAAAGAATACGCGATGTTTTATGTCATTTTTATCTTCATCGGTGTATTTTACGACTGTTATTATCAGTTACGTGTGTTGTTATAAGTAGGCTACTATTATTTTATACTTTTTTGTATGCGTTATCTAATGTTTTTATTGACATTCTTCTGTCCTGAAACAGCGTAGCAGTAGCCTGTGACTAGCAGTAGCTTACTAGCCATTCTGTTGTATTTTGCTGTACAATGTTTGGCAGTTTATTTGTTTGAATAAAAGTTTGAGGAAGCTGTGATTTTTAATAAAACAGTTTTTATTACTGAACCAAGTTTAATGACTTAACATAATTATCATTACTAGTGCACCTGTTGCTCGAATTCGAGCAATTGCAAAGTATTACAGGCGTTATTACAAAAACGAATAACAGTCACAATTTTCGATGATTTAAAAGAGTCAACTTAAAGATAATCAAATACTCCACTCCAGTTATCGAAACTGAAAACGAATGCTCTTGTGTGTATCATGTGTTTACTATGAACAGCTGTAATCAATATAAACAAAATCTTTTTTTCATAAGAAATACATTGGGATTTTGATGGCCTGTGGGGCAAAGCCTGAGGACTTGTATTACAGGAATTGGTGAAAGGGGGCGTCTTCACAAAAAATACTTAATTTTGACACCTCGCTTGTAAAAATCCGTCCATTATTAACGGAGGAGTAGTGTTTCGTAGAAATCGCCTTCACGTATTATATATAAGGATTGCGCATTAGCATACTAATTGTATTTTGATGATGTAATATGCAAATTATGACAATAAAGTCCATCTATACAGTTAGTATTAGGCGTTGATTATGAGTTAGAAATTACTGTTTTATGTGTTGGTTTAACCATGGTTTTCAGTTATCTGTGGTCTGGTCAAAATACAGTTTTACTATGTTTTTACGTCAATAAACACGTTCCTCCGATAATCCGACCTTTTTGCTGTTCCGACCATGCTCCCGGTCCTGTAGATGACAGATTAGCGAGGTTCTACTGAAAGTTCAGCTGTTTCAGTAGTCAGGATAATTTATTTTAAGCCCAATAACCGGGGTCAGCTGGGTCCAGTTTTGAACCATCAATAGGCTATCTGCTTTTTCTCAGGATCGAACCGGTAACCTTTTGAATATTAGGCAACCACTATAACCACTCAGATACCCAAGACTACTGGAATTGGAAACAGACCGTGATTGTTCAGCAAGGGTAATATTATAATTATTAGAGGCTAGGGGCTTAATAACAGGTGGGTAGCCTATGTAGGCCTACGGTGATATTGTCAAGTAGGTAGTGAGTTGTGTTATACAACTAAATAGCGAGTTGTGTTAGGCACCTAAAATGTCAAGGTTGGAATACCCAACTGCAAAAGTAAGCGGAGGATCAAACCTTAACTGTATTAGGTAGGTTTAGTTGTAGAAAGTTTACACTGGGGTTTACTCACAATAGTGATAATATATTACTTTCACAGATAAGACTCCAATGTTCTATATAGGCTAACTCCAATTATACCTGCCTTCCAAGAGTAAGAATGTTCAAAGGTTCCATTGCATCAAAAAAGGTCTAATTGATATTGCTGATACAGTAATTAAAAAATAATGATGCAATCGTGGTATCTAAAGGCTTCCTTAATAATTTTTTAATGTTCAATCCATACATAGTAATTAACTTAAAAGCCAGCAAATTCAAAATTGCAAAGTTTACTTACACAAGAAATATATGCTAATTTACCAACCTTTCTTGTAGCTTACTTGAATACTCCTCTAACATTTGGGTTATTTTCAAGATGTCTTTACCATACATAAGTTTAAAATAATTTTTATCCTCCATATATTCAGGCGATTTCATAATTATTTGCCAAAGCTCCATAGCTCGAAATAGAAAAACATACGCCAATTCCTCGTCTGCTTCTTCCTCATTCAACATAGTATTTGCTTTCTCATACAATGATTTGGCAGATGTAATCAACCTACAACAGTAAAATACACAAAAAACTAAAACAATAAAACTTTACAATTTCAAATAATGGCAAATTAAAAAAAAAATGGTTTGCTTGTTACCTATTTCAATGTGTTTGTACAGTAGAACCTCTTTAATCCGAACCCCCGTAATCCGAACGTCCACTAATCCGAACCCCTCATTGCTGTACTCTATACGCAGTACAGCAGTTCTTTATTGTATACTGTATTTAATGTACAGTACTGTTTATTCACCATGTTTACTACTGTATTATATAAACACTGTATTTTAATTTATAAAACATTTTTTTCACTTTTCCCAAAAAAATTTAGATCAATTTTAGCCATGTTTTGGCTATTGCTATGTAAAAACAACAGTATGTTCTGTAATCCGAACTATTCACTAGTCCGAACTACCCCTGGTCCCAATTAGTTCGGATTAAAGAGGTTCTACTGTATATATATTATACAGCTAAAATTATAGTGTCAGTATAGAAATATATTTAAAAAAATTCTGCATGGACGTTGGGCTTATATTCATCCTTAAGTCATCTTTCCTATTAAATTAACTGTATCTTAGTACCAAAGCTATCATCTGAATCATCATGTACTGATCAAATCTAGAGGGGATTGAAAAGCTCTATTGTCTACCCCTTTTATTGGTTTTGGTTTTTGTAATACCCAACTGACACTTGACGCAAAGGGGCCCAAATAAAATAGTACCGTAGATTACAGCACACTCCTGATTATCCGAGCCCCTTTAGAAGCCTTGATGAAGACTTAGAAGAAACTGATACTTAGGTACATGGGGGACACAGTCCTCAGAGTCAATCCCCTACACAGCCATCAGCCCGGTTACACCCCAGGAAGATTCTGTGACTCTGCCCTACATCACTTGGTAAGCAGAATCGACAAGGCACTGGAATTCAAAGAGATTGCCCTCAGGGCTTTCCTTGACATCCAGGTCTTTGACAACACTGAAACCCCAGGCTGTCGTCAATGCTGCCAGAGCTCGTAGATTCCATGGGGTGGTGTACAGGTGGGCAGAACCTCTTCTTAGGAAGAGGAAGGTAAAACTTTCACTTCACAATGAGGTAATGAAATGAAAATGAAAATGAAATGAAAATGCTTCTTTATTGAGGCGAACTTAGGACCACATGGTCCTTTCTTACAGTTAACCTCTAAAAAACTAATAATAACAACAAAATAATAACAAAAAATACAATAAAGTTTGTAACATAGCTAGTAATAAAATAGTATAAATCTATTCATCTTCCCTAACATCCAGTCACACACACATACACCCTCTGCTGCATCTAGGCCTAACGCACGCCATCCCGCCAAGCCACGGCCATCCGGTCAAGGTAATATTCTTTCAGCGCCACCATCAGTCGGGATCGGTTTTCTATAGATTTGATGGGCAGAGGTATGGAGTTCCATAGGCGGCAGGCTGTTACTAAAAATGATTTATTATAAACAGTTGTTCTATGATGAGGAATGCGAAGCGTGGACGAGCCAGAGCGGGTATCCCTTGCGCCTCTTCCATTCAAAAATTTAAAATTCTTTGCAAGATAATTTGGAATTCTAAGATTGATGACTGAATGAGTAATGGAAAGTATTCGTATTTTTCTGACGTCCTCTAATTTCAAAATTGATTCATTAATGTAATAGGGTGTGACATGGTCATCACGCCTAAGATTGAACAAGAATCGAACACAATAATTTTGTACACGCTGTAATTTTGTTGCCAAAGCCACAGTCATATCATTAACCACGGTGTTGCAGTAGTTGAAGTGTGGAAACACGAGTGATTTGACCAGTAAGAGTTTAATGTGAAAAGGTAGAAGTCGTTGCATCTTCTTCAGTGTGTGAACAGCGGCAAACACTCTTTTACAAGTGCTTACCACCGCGTCAGTCCAGTCCAATGTGCGGTTTAGAGTCAAACCAAGACTTTTTACTTTGTCCTGGTATTGCAAAGTGGTTCCGTTTACAGTGATTTTTGGCAAAATGTCTAAGTCCACTTTGTTGAGTAACCGTGAGTGACCTATGATGATTGGCTTTGTTTTGTCAGGATTGAGTCTAAGTCCGTTCTTTTCTGCCCATTGAACAATTCTGTTGATGTCGTGATTCATCATGTTTATAGTTTCATTTGCATCGCTCACTTTAAAATGAGAATAAATTTGCAAGTCGTCAGCGTACAAATGAAACTTTGCGTGGTGTAGAACTGTACTGATGTCATTGATGTAAATGGTGAAAAGCAGAGGACCAAGAATTGAACCCTGGGGAACTCCGCAGGGAACATGTCTCCAGTCAGACGTCAAGTTGTCATGAGAAACACACTGCTTTCGGCTCTGAAGATATGATCTCATCCATTTTAATGAATTATCAGAGAAACCTAACAGTTTGAGTTTGGCTAGAAGAATGCTATGGTTTACGGTATCGAAGGCTTTACTGAAGTCAAATAATGTTAAGATAGTACATTGGCTACGATCCATAGCAAATCGTATGTCATCAGTTACATGAAGCATTGCCGTTTCAGTACTGTAAGATTTACGAAAACCTGATTGAAAGCTATTGAGGATGTTGTTTTGTACCAAGAAGTCAGAAACTTGAGAGTGAATGACTCTTTCTAGTGCCTTAGAAAGAGCGGGAAGAATGCTAATTGGTCTGTAGTCTTGCGGAAGCGATGGGGATGAGATTTTATTCAAGGGACGGACAAGCGCAGACTTCCACTTTTCTGGGAAAATACCTGATCTTAGTGAAGTATTAAATATGAAAGTTAATGTTGGGAGGAGAGAAAACAAGATACGTTTAATTAAAGAAATTGGGATTCTGTCAGAACCAGTGGCTTCAGACGTTAACCGCCTTATAGCCTTCAAAACATCGATTTGCAATATTGGCTTGAAGTTAAATTGAGTGATGGAATTTGGCAAATGGCGTAACTCTGTTAAATGGTTCTGAACTATTGTACTGTTTGCCTGTGATGAAACTGTTAAAAAATAATCATTTAAATCGTTCAACGGAATTGATATGGGGACAATGTTAACTTGCTTTCCAAAGCCAAAACGTTTTAGATTACGCCAGCAAATAGCAGAGGATTGCTTTCCTTCAGAAAACAATCTATTAAAAAATTGGAGTCGAGCATTGCGTAAATGTTGTTTTACTTGATTTCTTAGCTGGCGATATTTTGCCATGAGCCCTTGATCCCTAGTTCTTTTGGCTCTGCGATGGACTGAGTCCCGCCGAGCCATTAAACCAATTATCTCATCATTAATCCAAGGAACGGGGCGACTTTTACTAACCCTACGGTTGACAATTGGAGCGTGTTTGTCATATAATTTTTAAATGGTTTCATTAAGTGAATCGACCATATCATCAACTGACTCCAGGGTATGTATGGAGTGCCAAGGCGTTAAATTTACATCAGACAAAAAATTTGCTTTGTTAAAATTTCTAAAATCTCTGTAAGATTTAAGTTTTTGTTTGGGCTTGGGAGCTCTCGTGGCAAGGGCACAATAAATAAGGTCATGTCGAGAAATGGCAGGGACTGGAAGCTGGCCATGGTGAACTGAAAATTCGGGATCACTTAGAATAATAAGGTCTAGTAATGTATCAGCTTCAGCAGTGTGATGGGTTGGGTCCAGTGGTAGTATCGCCAAGTTGCAAGAGTCAAACATGTTTGTCAATTGTCTGCAATCGTAACGTCCAGGTTTGAGTAAGTCACAGTTAAAGTCACCCATGATCAAGACACGACTGTAGCCTGGCATGAGGCGCAAGAGAGTATTTTCAAAGTTGGCCAAATGCCCCACTCCTGGAGGACGGTAACATGTCCCCAGGAGAAGAGCATCCGAACCAGACAAACGAATTTCCAAAAAAATAAATTCAGGTTTAGCAGAGTACTCACCCGGGGACTCGTACAACTGCCTGGCTTGCAAACCGTCTTTCACATAAACGGCAACGCCACCACCTGTTTTTCCTAAACGATCGTTTCTGAAAACTGAATAACCAGGCAGTGCGATCAACCCAGGCGAAATACTCGGCTTCAACCAAGTCTCTGAAACTGCAATGATTTCAAAATTTTGAGTCCGAAATATTGCTCTGACTTCGTCAATATGTTTTGTGAGGGATTGAGCATTGATGTGAGCAGCTTTGAATTGTTTGGCAAAGGGAGCGAGGTTGTTGATAAGGATCTGGGCGTTATCAGTAGGGAGAGGAGTGGGCGGGGGAGGGGTGACTGAGGCGACGCTGTGCAGGTCCGCTATCCTGGACCTACAGCTCGGACCCGCGGCGAGGCGCCGACGACGCGCACCGGCGTAGCTGCAACAGACACATTCACACACACACACACACATACTTGGGACGTAATACATCGTAATTAAAATAACTAAGCTAATAAAATAAAACAATTTCTCTATCACTACTGAGGAATAAACACAATTAACATTCAGCTCCTTGCATAAGTTAAAATGTAAAATAATAAAATAAAATAAAATAAAATAACAACCAGGCCAGGACCACACGAGGCTGTCCACAGGGTGACATACTCTCTCCTCTTCTTTGGAACCTTGTTGTGGATGACTTAATCAGATCTCTCAGTGACAGTGGTTTATTCGTTCAAGGATGCTGACGACATTGTGATACTGGTTGTGGGCAAATTCAATAACACGGTCTCCGACCTCATGAACACAGCTTTCAGGTCAGTTTGACAGAGGTGCACAGAGGTAGGCCTTTCAATCAACCCGTCCAAAGTAGCGGTGGTCCTCTTCACCAGAAGGCGGAATCTAAATGGCATAGGACCTCTGAACTACAAGGCTCAGTGCTTGAACTGCAGAATCAGGTAAAGTACCTGGGTGTGGTATTGGACCGAAAGCTGCAATGGGGACCACAACTCCAAAAGGTCATTACTTTACTTTACTTTAATACTTTTCAATGAAATGGCGACAATACAAAGTAGGTATTTTAAGCCAAGTATGAATGGAGATGAGTGTAGGATGTGTGGCGCGATCTTGTA